GAGAGAGAGAGAGAGAGAGAGAGAGAGAGAGAGAGAGAGAGAGAAAGAAATTAGTAAATGGAAAGATGAAGTTAATAAGAATTTTAAGAGCAGAGCGTTGCAGGTGATTTGGTATTGGGAAGAGGAAACAGGAAGTAAAAAGGAAGCAGGAAGAATTCTTAATGATTCACATTTGCAAAGACACTCTTGATGAGCTGTGTCTGGATGAAAGAGCCAGAATTTTTCTTAGAGCCAGGTGTGGTGGCACACGACTATAATCCCAGCACTCCGGAGGCTAAGGCTGGAAGATCATTCCAAGTTTGAGAGCAGGCTGGAGTATGGAGTGAACTCAAAACCATCCTGAACTCATAATGAGACCTTGTCTCCAAAAACCACACCCAAAAAAATATTCTCAAGGCAAGGATTGTCTGTATTGTGTGTACTGTGATACTGTTTTAGAACCTGTGTGACAGGCTTCTTCACAGTAACTGTGGTTCATCTTACTCATATTGTTGAAAACCTCTTCAATGGTAGATACTACCAAGTAAATGAAATTGGCATTGTTAAGGTTATACTTTTAAAAATATTGGTTGAGATCCTTTTCTGTCAAGCCTCATTCTGGGTACACAGTTTATTAATTATTTGATATGTAGTGAACAATTATTTTTTTTGGGGGGGGCAGAACCGGGGATTGAACTCAGACCCTTGAGCTTGCCAGGGAGGCACTAATACTGAGCCATCTCCCTGGCTCCTTGAACAACTATTTTCAAACTGGCAAAAAAAGATGTACTTGTTCACTTCAACCCATGTTTAAAATGTGCCACATTTTTATGGCTTAGTCAAACTTTAAATTTAGCTTAAAATTTTATTTACTGATTCATCCTAGTCATGAAATAGATTATCTAGAAGTGAGTTTTATTACTTTAAAGAGAATACAAAAATAATAGATAAAACGTTAGAAATGATGCAGAACTTCAGAAAAGAAGAATTCAACAGTGGTTGTTACATGCACATTGTTGTCTTCAAAGTAGTTGTTCCAATTACCAGATACAAGCATGTAAAATTGGTCAAAATAAAAACTGTAAGCATTAATTGCTCCCTTCAGAAAAACAATAGAAGGCTGATATAGCTTGTCAGTCTAAGTGCCTGTCTGGTAAGCGCAAGGACCCAAGTTCAGTACCCGGTACTGCATGACATGTCATCCCCGGAACCAGGCGTGGTGGCGAACACCTGTAATATCCCAGCACTGGGGAGGCTGAGACAGGAGGATTACTAGGAGCTTGAACTGCGAAGGGAGACCCTGTTATAAATAAATAACCAACCAACCAAAGAAATTAGTGCATTATCTCAGATAGCCTGTGAATATACACACATGCCCCCCGTTTGTTCGTTCTTTCTTTTTTCCTTTCCCTCACCCCAGTTGTAGAAATGAATTTTATAGAAGGGCCTAAAGCTTCAAAATGAAGGTCTGGCTTTGCTGCGTGTTGTGATTGTAGGATTAGAAACAAGCGCACCTTCTGTCTTCAAGTGAAAACTCTTAGCAGAATATCTTGATGTTGTTTACCATCTTTACTACATTCCTCTTGATTAACCTTACTGGTATTTTAAAAGTACCTGTTGGCTCCAAGAATATTATAGATAGAGAGATGGATATTGATACATAAAATGAATTCATTTACATAATACACAAAGAGTACACCATATCTGAAGTTAGAGTGCCTTTAGGGTGGTAGGATTTTATTTTACTAGAAGAAGCTCTCTAGAATCAACCAGCCATCGCCTTTGGCTATTCTCCCCCACCAGTGCCAAGCACATTTGGGATGATAGAGATACATTCAACATTAATCTTAGAGTAGTTTCTGAAGAACCCTAGAGGGCGAGCGAGGTCCTGAGAAGCTGTTTAGGCTCAAAGTGGTTGGGCTGATCCTCGCCCTCTCACTTCCTTTCAGTGCAGGCCTTTCTGATTTAATTGGGGCAGTGGGGCCTGACTAGCCTGCAAGATCGCTGCTGTGTGTGGACTCTGCTGAGCTGCCCTGCGTGTGCAAGTGCTGCCAAGGTCCAGGGCGTTGTGACGACGCACATCCCCACCCTGTGGGGAAGTAGAGTCCAAGGGACACTGAAGCAGTGTACAGGTTGTGTTCTGTGGTCAGTGTGCTCAGATTCCTTAGGAGAAACACTATATGCTTTTAGGCATGTGACTGAAGAGAACTGTAGAGGCCTTGGGGAGAAGTCAGAGCATAACCACAAGGACGCATACACAGTGAGATCTAGACCTTTCTAGTTTAGTTTTGAAGAAACTAAAATTATTTTATTTGAAAAGAGAAAGTCCATTCAATTCCCGGTACCACTCAAAAAATAAATAAATAAATAAATAAATAGTCCAAAGGCAATTAAATAATGATTGGTCTTCCAGATCCAGAGACTAATTACAGTGAGTTTAATGACCAGACCTCTTCATGTGCAAATAGCTTAAAGGAATAATACTTCTTTAACAGGAAGACTAGACCAAGCAAAGAGAAGCAGCAGAAAAAGATGCTGAGCCTACTGAATCAAGAGAGTGGATCATTCTGCATGCTGTTTAGGCAGAACTTTTATAAGCAGTGTGAATTATTTCCTGTGCTTTTTCTTGTAAAGTACCACCCAATGGAACTGCTTAAGTGAACCTGGCCTTTTTAATTCTGTGAGTCACTGGTTTATCTTGAAAGCATATCCTAAGGTAAAAATTTCAAACAGGTATTTTGAATTTTAGTCTATAAGCCTGATGTTATTGGGAGAGGAACTGCTTTCTAATATTCATGTCAAGGAAAGTAGTGTCAAAGAGGAACATGTATTATACGGGTCCTGAACTCAGAAACCTACAGGGGTCCATGGTCATTATAATAAGTGAAGCCAAGAGTCAGGAGTGTTAGGGAAAGTAATATATTAGCAAACTAAAAGGGGCAACCACTACCGACTTTGGCCAGTTGTTATTGTGTCATAGTGTACACATGTTGACAGATCCACGGCTTTCTCATAAAAATTGAGAATTTCACATGAAATTCTTTTGTCACATTGACAAAGTACCATACTCAGTTCTGTAGGCCGAGCAACAGACCTGTGGAATTCGAGAGTGAGACACCTTTAGTTTATCGTTCACCTCACTAGTTAACCATCACACTAATTAACAAACAAAACAACTGATTGAACACCAAACCTTAGGACAATTAGTTTACTAACCCTTTGTAAGGCTTAATTAAGGTTCCTTCCAACCATGTAAACCTTTGATCTCTTTCTTTTCCTTTTGCTCTCAATAATCGGTGGCTTGTTCACACAGGAGGTGGGAATTTAAACAAATTACTTATTTCCTTTAGCAACATAATTTTATGTAGTGAAAGCAACAAGTACTCAGATTGAAGCATGACAGTTGTTGCTATACTAAAAATACTACTGATACTACTAAGTTTGTAGAAATGTGCATATGCGGCATGGACTTGTTACTTTGGATCTTTGAGCTAACGTTTGTTTGTAGCATTGGTTGCATGTGGCATGCTTAACTCGAAAGCTGACTTACACTTTACTACTATTTGCTGGTACGTGTTAGTTTCTTTTTTATAAAATGTTTTCAAATAAGTTACCTCAACCTGGGGTAAGGCCAGCTAGATCCCTGAAATCCCCTGCCTTTCAGACAGGAGAATATGCCACAGATGAAGAAGAGGATGAAGTGGGACCTGTTCTTCCTGGTGGCGACATAGCCATTGAAGTCTTCGAGCTGCCTGAGAATGAAGACATGTTCTCTCCGTCAGACCTGGACACAAGCAAGCTCAGTCACAAGTTTAAGGAGGTAAGCCACTCACGTGCAGTCTTCACTGTACTCATCCCCTTTGTCTTGAGCCTCTAATTTCAAAGGAAACTGCGTAGAATTCATTCTCCTTGCGCTAATTTCAATCCTTGTTATTTATCAGAGTGGCAGTTTTTCCGTGTATCTAGCCCATAATTTCAAGCTATAACTTAAATGGGCAAATTCATCTTAAGTTTATAGTTTTCAATTTCATAGAGGTTGGTATCCGATGAGTTTTCTTTAAAGCAGTGACTTTTCTAAAAACCTCTTTTTATATTTTACTAAAATAGAGTCCTAGCCAGAGAGATAGCTCAGTGGAATAAGTGCTTGCCTGGCAAGCACAAGGTCCTGAGTTCGATCCCTGGTACCACCCAAAAAAATAGATGAATAAATAAATAAAATAAAATAGAGTCCTAATAAGAATCAGGTGACATACTCAGACGTTTCACTTGAAGAGTTTAATGAACAGACTACAAGCAGATTGATAGAACTAACAAGAGATAGAGAAATGAACAGGGCCAGGCAGCAGCAGGAAGCTGTTGCCATCCTTTGGCTTAATAGGTGAAGAGAAAAGAAAAGATTCTCTTTTTGAAGGAAAGCCATCCAATGCCTACAGCTTTTTGTTGTTGTTTATTTTTGCATTTTATGTATTTGGTAGGGGGTCTCAGTCTGAAGCTCAGACTTGTAGTGATCCTTCCCAGCCCTGGGATTATAGGCATGTGCCACCATACCCAGGCTACCCACAGCTTTAAAAGGTGCAGCCATTGTTAAAAATTGTGTCCCAGGGAGAAGGTAACATATATCCAATACCCCTAACTCTGTTCCCCTCTTGCTGAGGTACCCTGGCACAACTCAGGCAAGGGAATGTGAGTGGCGCAATCTCCTCTTAAGCAAAAGAGCCATCAGAGGGTCCAAGGAGAGACCTGGCCCACATAAGCTCTTCTTAAAGTAGCCTTGTAGACCCTGATGTGTCAAGCTCAGGCAGAGATGGACAGGTCCCAAACAATTGATATTGTCTGTTGGGGAACATCCTCCTGTGTGGAAGATGAAAGATGCCATCATTTCCAGCATCTTCATCTCTCATTGTCTTTCTGAAGTAATTGATATTTTAACCCAAATAGCAATGAAGAGAAAGGTAAGTTCTTATATAGAAAAATGCTGAGTCTGAGGAAGAGCTGTTAGGTAGGAGTGTGTAGACTATTTGTTTTTTAAGAAATCTCCCTTGAAAATTTTAGTTACTGATCCAACTTTGAACATATCAGAGGCAGTAATAGCATGGCCAAGTTGTCCTGGAGAAACCCGGTAGTATAACTGTTCACGCCTGTTCAATGTACATGACCCCCTACTCTTCAGCAGATAGTGGAACCAGAATAAGAGACCATCTTGTTTCACAGAAGCTAGAAATCTTAAAAAGCAGAAACAAGATACGGAAACCTCTAAATCAGTTTCTGAATTGAGCAAGAAGTAAATGGCCTGCACGTATTTTCAGTGTATGCTAGAGTATGACCAGCTCTGATCTATGCCAGACCACAGTTTGGCAAATCATGCAACACTGGCCAAACCTGGGTTACTGTACACCACCAATTTTTATTTTTTTTATTGTAAATAAAGTTTTACTCAACCACAGCCACGCCCATCTCTTCATCTGCTTGTGGCTGAGTTCATAGTATAAAACAAAGTTGAATTGTTGCAACACAGACTCGGTGGCCTACAAACCCTAAGTTATTAGCAATCTTCTCCTAAACAGAAGAGTTTGCTGGCCTTGGCATAAACCCATTCTGAACAAAATGGCAGATTGATTTTTAGCCTGATTCGCCAAACTGGTCGTTTTCTTATAACTTGAGTTTTTAACGGTTAGAAGTTTATCTTCACCTTAAGAACTTCGTATATATCTCATTTCACTTGTAATTATTTTACTGTCTTTTGTTTTATTTTTAACTTTTTTTTTGTGGAACTGGGGATCAAACTTAGACCCTTGCACTTGCCAGGGAAGAGCTTGTTGTACTGAGCCATCTCCCAGCGACTCCTATTTTTAACATATTAACATAAACTTCCTCAGGGTTGCTTTCAGTAGCAACTGAACAGCGCTTTTCCACAACACCCGTTGGTCATCATCCACAGTGTCTCTCTTGGTCCCTGCCACTCTCACAGTCTTCAGGTTATTTATGCAGTTCACAGTCATGTCCAGATATGCAGCAGGCATGTTTGAGAGGGTTATGCACAGAACCAGGGGAGTCTTCATAAAGCATCACGTTACAGGGGATCTCTTGATGACTTTTAGCAAAATGCAAGTCGTACTACTTGAGCGAAGTGCATAGGCTGACTTGGTATCACTCAGCCCCACTTTTGGCCTGTTAGTATCTCCCTGCTCAACTCTGCCCCTGTTTGTACTGCAAATTCAACCCTCAGTCTTTCTTCTTCTT